CCTACCAGCATGTCTTTGGAGTGTTGGAGGAAACAGGAGGAGTACCCGGAGGAAACCCACAGAGGCACAGGGAGAACATGCAAACTCCAGGCAGGTGGTGAATTGGTTGGGATTCGAACCAACGACCCGAGTACTGCCAGGCAGACGTGCTAACCATTTATCCACTGGGCTGCCACACTCTCTACCACTCTGTTCTCTCCTCCTATCAGCATTCCTCGTCAGCACATGCACTGATTGGCTCCCAGTACTGCTTCTCCTTCCGCCCTTCTGAGCTCTGCTGTACTGGGGACTACAAGGGGCTGGTACCAGGCCAGGTTCCGGTATGAGGATCTGACATTGTAATGATGTATGCTGAGTCCAGGGCTCCCAGACAGAGGCAGAGCGCAGTGCTGTGCCGGGGAGGGGGATTAGGCTGATTGTCCTGTGCGTGTAATAAGAACTCCTTATCGCATTAATAAGGACATGATTGGCAGCTGAGAGGCGACGTCCACAGACAGGCGGAGAGCCGCCATGATTATCGAATACCGCTCTAATTGTTCCTAAGACAAGGAATATCCGCGCCTTAATGGAGGCAGTGTGCTGCTCCTATCCCAGCCGCTTATTAAAGGATTAAAGGGAGTCTGTGAAGAAATGAAAAATAAACAGCCGAGAGGCCGATAATGACAAGACGGGAGAGGAAGCGGCACCTCCATGATGGACAAGTACAGGTGCTGGAGGTGTGCGAGAGACACGGGTCCCTACCATGAGAACGAGAGAGAGACGGGACCCTACCATGAGAAGGAGAGAGCCAGGACCCTACCATGAGAAGGAGAGAGACGGGATCCTACCATGAGAAGGAGAGAGACGGGATCCTACCATGAGAAGGAGAGAGACGGGATCCTACCATGAGAAGGAGAGAGCCAGGACCCTACCATGAGAAGGAGAGAGACGGGATCCTACCATGAGAAGGAGAGAGACGGGATCCTACCATGAGAAGGAGAGAGACGGGATCCTACCATGACAACGAGAGAGCCGGGACCCTACCATGAGAAGGAGAAAGACGGGATCCTACCATGAGAAGGAGAGAGACGGGATCCTACCATGAGAAGGAGAGAGACGGGATCCTACCATGAGAAGGAGAGAGACGGGATCCTACCATGACAAACGAGAGAGACGGGATCCTACCATGACAAGGAGAGAGACGGGACCCTACCATGAGAAGGAGAGAGACGGGTCCCTACCATGAGAAGGAGAGAGACGGTACCCTACCATGAGAAGGAGAGAGACGGGACCCTACCATGAGAAGGAGAGAGACGGGTCCCTACCGTGAGAAGAAGAGAGACGGGATCCTACCATGAGAACAAGAGAGACGGGACCCTACCATGAGAAGGAGAGAGACGGGTCCCTACCATGAGAACGAGAGAGACGGGTCCCTACCATGAGAAGGAGAGAGCCAGGACCCTACCATGAGAAGGAGAGAGACGGGATCCTACCATGAGAAGGAGAGAGACGGGATCCTACCATGAGAAGAGAGAGACGGGATCCTACCATGAGAAGGAGAGAGACGGGATCCTACCATGACAACGAGAGAGCCGGGACCCTACCATGAGAAGGAGAAAGACGGGATCCTACCATGAGAAGGAGAGAGACGGGATCCTACCATGAGAAGGAGAGAGACGGGACCCTACCATGAGAAGGAGAGAGACGGGACCCTACCATGAGAAGGAGAGAGACGGGTCCCTACCATGAGAAGAAGAGAGACGGGATCCTACCATGAGAACAAGAGAGACGGGACCCTACCATGAGAAGGAGAGAGACGGGTCCCTACCATGAGAACGAGAGAGAGACGGGTCCCTACCATGAGAACGAGAGAGACGGGTCCCTACCATGAGAAAGAGAGAGACGGGACCCTACCATGAGAAGGAGAGAGACGGGACCCTACCATGAGAAGGAGAGAGACGGGACCCTACCATGAGAAGGAGAGAGACGGGATCCTACCATGAGAAGGAGAGAGACGGGACCTTACCATGAGAAGGAGAGAGCAGGGACCCTACCATGAGAAGGAGAGAGACGGGTCCCTACCATGAGAACGAGAGAGACGGGACCCTACCATGACAAGGAGAGAGACGGGACCCTACCATGACAAGGAGAGAGACGGGACCCTACCATGAGAAGGAGAGAGCAGGGACCCTACCATGAGAACGAGAGAGACGGGACCCTACCATGAGAACGAGAGAGACGGGTCCCTACCATGAGAACGAGAGAGACGGGACCCTACCATGACAAGGAGAGAGACGGGACCCTACCATGACAACGAGAGAGACGGGTCCCTACCATGAGAAGGAGAGAGACGGGACCCTACCATGAGAAGGAGAGAGACGGGACCCTACCATGAGAAGGAGAGAGACGGGTCCCTACCATGAGAAGGAGAGAGACGGGACCCTACCATGAGTACGAGAGAGACGGGTCCCTACCATGAGTACGAGAGAGACGGTCCCTACCATGAGAAGGAGAGAGACGGGTCCCTACCATGAGAAGGAGAGAGACGGGTCCCTACCATGAGAATGAGAGAGACGGGTCCCTACCATAAGAACGAGAGAGACGGGACCCTACCATGACAAGGAGAGAGACGGGACCCTACCATGAAAACATGCGCTCTACTCACACGCGGGACTGAAGTGTTACCACCACCCCCCCTCCCCGGGTCACGTCAAGCCCGACTCTGACATCGTGCGACTTACAGTGAAGTGTTACTAACCCCCCCCCGGGGTCACATCACGCCCGACTCTGACATCGTGCGACTTACCAGTGAAGTGTTTACTAACCCCCCCCCCGGTCACATCAAGCCCGACTCTGACATCGTGCGACTTACAGCGAAGTGTTAATACCCCCCCGGGTCACATCACGCCCGACTCTGACATCGTGCGACTTACCAGTGAAGTGTTACTAACACCCCCCCCAGGTCACATCAAGCCCGACTCTGACATCGTGCGACTTACAGCGAAGTGTTAATACCCCCCCGGGTCACATCACGCCCGACTCTGACATCGTGCGACTTACCAGTGAAGTGTTACTAAACCCCCCCAGGTCACATCAAGCCCGACTCTGACATCGTGCGACTTACAGCGAAGTGTTAATACCCCCCCGGGTCACATCACGCCCGACTCTGACATCGTGCGACTTACAGCGAAGTGTTACTAACCCCCCCCCCCCCCCCAGGTCACATCAAGCCCGACTCTGACATCGTGCGACTTACAGCGAAGTGTTACTAACCCCCCCCCCCCCAGGTCACATCAAGCCCGACTCTGACATCGTGCGACTTACAGTGAAGTGTTACTAAACCCCCCCCCCCAGGTCACATCAAGCCCGACTCTGACATCGTGCAACTTACAGTGAAGTCTCACAATTTCAAAGTCGGGTGAGATGCCAATTTCAGGTGCGATTTGCAAGACATCCGACACAGATGTCTATGCAAATCGCACCAAAGGTAGTGCATGTACTACTATAGAAATCAGTGCGGCTCCGACCAAATCAGAATTGCACCGATACGACTGCCCCAATAGGGTGCCACTTGGCATACAATTTGCAAGTTGCATGGCATGCAAATCGCATGCCAAGTCGCACCCGGTGTGACCGGGGTGTAAACCCACAACAGTACAATCAGTCTGTATATGCAGTAAAACATGCTTGTTATACTCACTGTGGACCCTAAAGGGTTAATCCTCTGCATTATATAAAAAGGCAGTTAGATCCGGTCTTCTCTGATACTCCCCTTCTTCCAGTGTCCCCTAAATAACTCCTGATAAAACATAGGTTTGGAGTCACTCTGCACATGCTCAGTTTGGCTAGAGAGGTTTGTTTTTTTTTCTTGTCCAGACAGAGGTCAGGGGTGCTGCATCCTCCTAGAACAGAAAGAAAACTCCTCCTACAAGCTTTTAACCAGTGCTCTGCTGGAACCTGATAGAAGTCACAAGACTGCTATATACTGCTAATGAGAAAAGGTATTTAGCAGTTTATATTTACTAAAATAATTGCATTTCCATGTTCTGTGTACTGTGGGAGACCAGATATAGTGAATGCAGGGTCCGGGGAGACCAGATATAGTGAATGCAGGGTCCGGGGAGACCAGATATAGTGAATGCAGGGTCTGGGGAGACCAGATATAGTGAATGCAGGGACCTGGGAGACCAGATATAGTGAATGCAGGGTCTGGGGAGACCAGATATAGTGAAATACAGGGTCCGGGGAGAGCGGATATAGTGAATGCAGGGTCTGGGGAGACCAGATATAGTGAATGCAGGGTCCGGGGAGACCAGATATAGTGGATGCAGGGTCCGGGGAGACCAGATATAGTGGATGCAGGGTCTGGGGAGACCAGATATAGTGAATGCAGGGTCCTGGGAGAGCGGATATAGTGAATGCGGGGTCCGGGGAGACCGGATATAGTGAATGCAGGGTCCGGGGGGAGACCAGATATAGTGAATGCAGGGTCCAGGGAGACCAGATATAGTGAATGCAGGGTCCGGGGAGAAAGGATATAGTGAATGCAGGGTCCGGGGAGAGCGGATATAGTGAATGCGGGGTCCGGGGAGACCGGATATAGTGAATGCAGGGTCCGGGGAGACCGGATATAGTGAATGCAGGCTCCAGGTATAGCGGATATAGTGAATGCAGGGTCCGGGGAGAGCAGATATAGTGAATGCGGGGTCCGGGGAGACCGGATATAGTGAATGCAGGGTCCGGGGAGACCGGATATAGTGAATGCAGGCTCCAGGGAAAGCGGATATAGTGAATGCAGGGTCCGGGGAGAGCGGATGTAGTGAATGCAGGGTCCAGGGAGACCAAATATAGTGAATGCAGGGTCCAGGGAGACTGGATATAGTGAATGCAGAGTCAGGGGAGACCGGATATAGTGAATGCAGGCTCCAGGGAAAGCGGATATAGTGAATGCAGGGTCCGGGGAGACCGGATATAGTGAATGCAGGCTCCAGGGAAAGCGGATATAGTGAATCCAGGGTCCGGGAAGACCGGATATAGTGAATGCAGGGTCCGGGGAGACCGGATATAGTGAATGCAGGGTCCGGGGAGAGCGGATATAGTGAATGCAGGGTCCGGGGAGAGCGGATATAGTGAATGCAGGGTCCGGGGAGAGCGGATATAGTGAATGCAGGGTCCGGGGAGACCAGATATAGTGAATGCAGGGTCCGGGGAAAGCAGATATAGTGAATGCAGGGTCCGGGGGAGACCAGATATAGTGAATGCAGGGTCCGGGGAGAGTGGATACAGTGAATGCAGGGTCGGGGAGACCGGATATAGTGAATGCAGGGTCTGAGGAAAGCAGATATAGTGAATGCAGGGTCCTGGGAGACCTGATATAGTGAATGCAGGGTCCGGGGAGACCGGATATAGTGAATGCAGGGTCCTGGGAGACCGGATATAGTAAATGCAGGGTCCTGGGGAGACCGGATATAGTGAATGCAGGGTCCTGGGAGACCGGATATAGTGAATGCAGGGTCCGGGGAGACCGGATATAGTGAATGCAGAGTCTGGGGAGACCAGATATAGGAAATGAAGGGTCTGGGGAGAGCGGATATAGTGAATGCAGAGTCTGGGGAGACCAGATATAGGAAATGAAGGGTCTGGGGAGAAAGGATATAGTGAATGCAGGGTCCGGGGAGAGCGGATATAGTGAATGCGGGGTCCGGGGAGACCGGATATAGTGAATGCTGGGTCCGGGGAGACCGGATATAGTGAATGCAGGGTCCGGGGAGACCGGATATAGTGAATGCAGGCTCCAGGTATAGCGGATATAGTGAATGCAGGGTCCGGGGAGAGCAGATATAGTGAATGCGGGGTCCGGGGGAGACCGGATATAGTGAATGCAGGGTCCGGGGAGACCGGATATAGTGAATGCAGGCTCCAGGGAAAGCGGATATAGTGAATGCAGGGTCCGGGGAGAGCGGATGTAGTGAATGCAGGGTCCGGGGAGAGCAGATATAGTGAATGCAGGGTCCAGGGAGACCAAATATAGTGAATGCAGGGTCCAGGGAGACTGGATATAGTGAATGCAGAGTCAGGGGAGACCGGATATAGTGAATGCAGGCTCCAGGGAAAGCGGATATAGTGAATGCAGGGTCCGGGGAGACCGGATATAGTGAATGCAGGCTCCAGGGAAAGCGGATATAGTGAATCCACGGTCCGGGAAGACCGGATATAGTGAATGCAGGGTCCGGGGAGAGCGGATATAGTGAATGCAGGGTCCGGGGAGAGCGGATATAGTGAATGCAGGGTCCGGGGAGAGCGGATATAGTGAATGCAGGGTCCGGGGAGAGCGGATATAGTGAATGCAGGGTCCGGGGAGACCGGATATAGTGAATGCAGGGTCCGGGGAAAGCAGATATAGTGAATGCAGGGTCCGGGGAGACCAGATATAGTGAATGCAGGGTCCGGGGAGAGTGGATACAGTGAATGCAGGGTCCGGGGAGACCGGATATAGTGAATGCAGGGTCTGAGGAAAGCAGATATAGTGAATGCAGGGTCCTGGGAGACCTGATATAGTGAATGCAGGGTCCGGGGAGACCGGATATAGTGAATGCAGGGTCCTGGGAGACCGGATATAGTGAATGCAGGGTCCTGGGAGACCGGATATAGTAAAATGCAGGGTCCTGGGAGACCGGATATAGTGAATGCAGGGTCCTGGGAGACCGGATATAGTGAATGCAGGGTCCGGGGAGACCGGATATAGGAAATGAAGGGTCTGGGGAGAGCGGATATAGTGAATGCAGAGTCTGGGGAGACCAGATATAGGAAATGAAGGGTCTGGGGAGAGCGGATATAGTGAATGCAGGGTCCGGGGAGAGCGGATGTAGTGAATGCAGGGTCCGGGGAGAGCAGATATAGTGAATGCAGGGTCCAGGGAGACTGGATATAGTGAATGCAGAGTCAGGGGAGACCGGATATAGTGAATGAAGGGTCCGGGGAGAGCGGATATAGTGAATGCAGGGTCCAGTGAGACCAGATATAGCGAATGAAGGGTCCGGGGAGACCAGATATAGTGAATGCAGGGTCCGGGGAGACCAGATATAGTGAATGCAGGGTCTGGGGAGACCAGATATAGTGAATGCAGGGTCCGGGGAGACCAGATATAGTGAATGCAGGGTCCGGGGAGACCAGATATAGTGAATGCAGGGTCCGGGGAGACCGGATATAGTGAATGAAGGGTTTTTGGAGACCAGATATAGTGAATGCAGGGTCCGGGGAGACCAGATATAGTGAATGCGGGGTCCGGGGAGACCAGATATAGTGAATGAAGGTTCTGGGGAGAGCGGATATAATGAATGCAGGGTCCAGGGAGACTAGATATAGTGAATGTGGGGTCCAGGGAGACCAGATATAGTGAATGCAGGGTCCAGTAAGACCACCTCCTAGTACTGCCCCTTGGTTCCACCCACCTCCCAGTACTGTCCCTGAGAATACAGAATCAAGTATAATTTTGTAGTGCTAAGTAATTTGTATGTAATA